CCCTTTATAGTCGACCAATAGTAGGTTGACCAATCAGAAGCCGCCCAACACTGTATTCATAGTGTATAAAGCCGGCCATTTTGTCTCCTCCTACCAGAAGGACAAAAGGCGACCAGGAGAAGGATGAACTACACTCTGCTGTGATATCCACTGCGAACCTTCACTACGTTTTCCTACTGTCTCCGAAATATTCACTGCCAACCTCTGGAGGCGATACTCGAGGATCGACCGTCATGAAAATGTCTAACACTTTCTCGTTAATGCATCCTTATAATGCCACTTCTCTTCTTTGCACGGAACCGCGTATATATGGATTTCACTTCGTGAATCAAGGATTGAACCAAGTTACCAGGTAACTGTATACATTTAACCACTGTTTAGATATACTGAGCAATAAAGTGGTAACCATTTAGAGCCTTAAACCAAGGACAATGTCCTTCCTGGTGGATTAAATCGTTGGTTGGTGAATTTGCTGATATAGCTAGTTCTGAAAGGATGGAATCATGAATTTGTCTCATAGATGACAAAAGGCAGTGGAACAAAATGATTTATATGTGGTTCAATATATCTATATAAAGATATCTAAATATTGTTTCTGAAATTCGCTTTACACTATGAGCTTTTGTTCCGAGGTAAGAAAAATATATTATTAATTTTTGACTATCTTTTTTTTCTTCATCTTATTGTCTTTCTTTTATTACAACTATTAGAAGTTATTAGCTCTATATATTCTTTGCCGTAAGAAGCGTTATTCTTTTGCCGTAAGGAGAGTTATTCCTTTGACGTAAGGAGCGTTAATCGAATTTCTTACTGGAAATCCATGATAAAACATAGCAATGACTAAGAAACTGTCAAAATTTGGTAATAAAAACTGCTCTTTATTAAGCAAAGTAGAAGTGTGAATATGACATTTCTGTTTTATTTTTCCGTGAAATTTTCGAATAAGACTAAACATTGATTTTAAGCAGCCAGATAAATAAAAAATTATTTTGAGCTGCTTTGTGCAAAACCCACATCAAACATGCAAATCTAATCGTTGGAAAAATGTGGAAATTTTTGTCAGCTTATAATGATAACGGGTGGGTTTGTTATGAGTCGTTCTTACTAAACTATGTGAGGGATACATTATTACATCAATAGTATTACAGAAAGTGCCATTTGCTCTTTACAATCAAAAGCAATGTCCAGCCAACAGATGGCGCCTTTAAAGAAAGAACAACTTTCAACTGATAACTCTCTCTCTTTTATTTGTAGATGCGTTCTCTATGCATGAGAACCGGAACACATCGTCCATTCTCGAAGCTTGTGTCTGTACTTGCGTAATGTTTTGTTTGACGAACGGGGAACTTCGAAGTAGTGTAATGGATAGTAAGTTTGTCTCGTTAGAATCAATTACGACTGAAATAGTGCGTTCGACCCTCACCGAATATTATCGAATTTGTGCCACTTCTAAGCTACTCTTAGAAAATCACTCTGCTAACCAAATGAAAAGTAATCAAAATCTGGCTTTATTTTGCAAGTGTTCACCCAATGCAAGGCTCAAGAGTCACTCAAGTTTTCCTGTTGACAAAATGAAAAGTTGAAATGTAATCGAAATCTGTATTTTCTTTTACTAATGTTTACCCGATACAAGGCCCAAGAGTCGCTCAAGGTAGAGGGTTGTAGAGGAATGTGGTGTAAGAAAAAGAAGTTTCAGATTATAAGGATATAGAGGAAAGATAAGCATTGGCCTTATAGGTTACATTTTTAGTGTTCGGGGAAGTATCAACTTGGGAGTCTGTTCCTCCACATAAATCTATTACTGGAAGAAGGTTTCTGAGCGGAGCCGCCTACTTACCAATCGAATACGTAGAAAATGAGGTTGATTCAACTCTATGGACGTACCAAGGCTGGTTTTAGATGTAAAGGTCTGAACTAGTGGCACTAAGTAATGGAGCTCATCTGAACATTTGCCATGGAGTAGTGATAGTTTTGCAGCATTGTATATGTGGGGAAAGGGGATGCAGAATGGAAAATAAGTAATTGCCCACAAGGCTTTGAAGCTGGAAATATAGGGTGGGACAGCTCTAGCCAAGATGGCAGCAATAGCCCATTTTTGGTTTAATCTGGCACTTAAAAAAAGATAAAGCATGTCAGAAAGAGTGAGGTACTTTCTGGAGCGTCACGTGTAGCCGACCATTATCCAGCTGCCTTAACGATGGATCGTATATATAAGATCCACTTGAGGTTTTCAGTGAACTTGAGTCCAAATAGATGCTGAAAGCAAGCAACCACATTGAGAGTGTAATTGGCGGCGCCTGTCTTAAAACGTACGTTTGCAAACTAGTTTGGTATATGACTACCTAGTGCAATGAGTTCTTAACTCCGTTCATAAGCCATTTGAAAAAATTGGTCTTGTGGCAGATGAAAGAAATGACTCTCCAGGAGAGCAACACTTTGCGCTTTCTTGGGCTCACGCTTTCCACTGATTATATTGAACCAATTGTTAGATCTATTGCTAGGAAAGTTGGTTCGCTGTGTCGTGCCAGACAATTTTTCTCTTCAGAATTCTTCTTGCACATTTATAAATCTATCATTTGTATGTTCGTTGAATATTGCTGCCATATTTGGTCTGGTGCTTCTATATATCTCGAGATTCTTGACAAAATCCAAAGAAGAGTCTGTAATGTAATCAATCCTGACCTGGCATCTCAACTTCAGTCATTTTCTCACCATCGTGACGTAGCGCCCCTTTGATTTTTCTACAAATATTTTCATGACAATTCTTATCAACTGTTCTTAGAGCCTCGACTGCATAAATTTAAGATTGGCAACCATTTCACCGTTTTACTGTCTAACTAGCAAGATGCAACCGTCAGTTCAATTCTAATAGTTTCTTTTCTCGTACTTCTCACCTGTGGAACTCACTTCCGATTTCTTGCTTCTCTGCCACCTACAATATTAAAAAATTTAAATGCAACATCAGTCGTCATCTTCAGTCTTCCTGGAACCTATTCCTTTATTGTGCTTTTCCTTACTTCTTCTTACTAAAGTCTTCTCATTCTCTTTTACTCCAGACACTCCTTTGCGTCCTAGTGGCATTATCGCCTTGCTTGTTGTGGAATAATTTAAAAAAAATAAATGCTGCATTTGACGGTGTATAAGACAACCATAAAAATGACTCAAAATCGCTCTGCGTCTTATATTTAAAATTGAGGTCCTCCCGTAGGGTAATTTTATCCCAACATATTATTTTACCTTACACAGTCACTTCCACTGTGACAAACTCTTTAGAAATATTCCCTACTCAAACGACATTATTATTATTGTTATTTTTTAGTGAGAGAACCACACTCAAGCAAAGTGACGTCAAGGCACAAATATACGAAGTCCAATACATGTATACCTCACCCTACGTCGTTAATTGGTTTCCAGAGGTCACGACTTAGGTCGAAAAACGAATTAAGTCGAAGTAACCATACTATAAACCGAAAATAAGCACTCACCATTGCATATTACAGTATTTATGATACATACGTATGATATTACGCTTAGCATTAGTAATGAAAGAACGGTCTGGCAATTTTTTCCAATATAATCCAGTTTGGTGAACGTTAAAAATCTGTTCAAGAAGAAACCCGTTTAGCCAATGCTTTAGGAAAATCGGCTGCTGCTCGTTCGTCAGCTGATGCCCTTTCACCTTGCTTCTTAATAGAGTGATAATACTTAATAGACGACAACACAAAGTCACAGATGTTTTCATATTTCGTTCTCTAGGTTTTATGATGATTATATTAACATTTACTGTAAATGTAAGTATTTTAATATGATTTTAGATACTTTTATTCTTATTTATGGTACAGTAATGTGATTTTATGTGCTTTTAAAAAGCATAAAGTCGAATAAAACGAGTTAAACTGATTTTTATTTTTCTATATATTTTTTGACAAACGACGTATAATCGAGAACGATTTAACTCGAAACGACGTGGCCCGAGGTATACCTGTATACTCAACATGACACCCAATCTGACAAGGGCATATCAGACACATGCATCACAATTGGGGATGGATACATTGTCATTTTTATATCCTCCTAAAAACTGTATATATGGGAACTAGTTAGGACTGCATACAGGAATTGTGGTATTTTGGTGACTGTAGTCAGAAAAATAAGCAAGAATGTAGCGTTATGGTGAAAAGAACACTATCTAATGATTGGGTCAGTGTTAGATAAGTTAAGTGTAGAACAGATGAAAACCAAACTTCTGTTCCCCTATTCTTGGTCTTGTGCAAAATCTGGCGTAATTTTATCATCACTGAACATTTTTCTTGGTCCTTCGGAGATGAAAAAGGTCGCTGTTTATTACGAGTTTTGAATGCAGCTTTTTGATCCCTTTTAATTTAAGCACCCCGTCATTTTTTATTTTGGACTTGCGAGACTGCTTTATTCCCTTTGAAATTACGACCCCGGATTTAGAATTTTTGAATCTGAACCTCCCATTACTATTTTCTCAGTTTCAAAAGGAATTTAACACAAATCGACCAACGCGTCTCATATAAAACATAATAAGTAGAAAGTAGTGTTTAATGTGCCCAAAAGTCTCGTTTTGGAAGTATGTGGGTCTATGTACTCCATTAGAAATGAATGACTCTACTGGAAAATCTTCAAGAAAATCTGTTTGACAAGCGGCTTCTGAGATAGGCGTTTAAAAATAGTGTTTTTTTTTTTGCATTTGGAAGCGTGGTCATTTGTTTGTTTGTTTTTGCTTGCGGCATATCAACACCTCTATGAGTTTTTTAATACCGAAATTAAAATATTTTGTAGGCAATTTTATTTTTTTGCGATAATGATAGTTTTAATAATACAATTTGTTTTACTAATTAGCCCATAGATGCATTCATACCTTTCCCAAGGATATTTGCGCGTAGATGATTCCAATGAACCCGACTGGAATTGAAGCTCGACTCGCCGATTAGCAATTCCGAACCATTATCATTACACCACCCAAACATCCAAACTTACAGCACTTAGTATTCTCAAGGTGACACCCATTTAGGTATTGACCAGTCGCAACGTTGCTTAACTTCGGTGATCGTACGAGAACCGTTGTTTCAACGTGATGCGATCGTTCACTTTTGAACCGACTGCTCGGTTGAACTCTCTTCCTACGGACGGGAGGAACCAGAAGGAGGCTACGCCGAAGGGCGGAGTCTCCTTCGGGGAGGTAAAACCGGCCCTGAACCCGTTTATACGGGTTCAAATGGGCTATTTTTGGCCGAGCCCACGGGCTAGGAATGCCCACGTTAAAAAGGCCTTGTGCCACATGACACCCTCGTGGGGGGGGGGGTGACTCAATATCGTAAGCCGGAGCGTTGCCAGGAGAGAAGTTTTATTCTAACATGAGTTCACCACTCACAGAAGATAATCTTGATATTTGATATAAAAAATTCTATGGAGATGGAAATCTGTCGAATAGGTGGGTGATGAGGTGGCATTGGATATCCACCGGGTTCACCATACCTCATATTCCTGGACTTTTATGGGAACACTTCAAAGATAAGGCTTATCGCTTAAAATTATCAATAATCAATAAAATGAAAGCCTCTATGGAATGAAAATTTAACCAAATATCAAATGCAGTGGCTCGTGATGATTGCAATTCCATTGGCCCGCGTTGTCTGTCGTGTCTAGACCATCAATTAGAACACTTGCAATAATCAAAATGAACCTACGCCTATCTTTAATTTGAATCATAAAACTTAGAGGTACCTTAATAGTGTATTGATAAGCATTTAAAGTGTGTGTACGTTTTTAGATACCTTGTGCATGAATATTTCAACTCATATATTTATATAGAAAATCCTTTGGACGGTGGCGTAGTGGATATAGGAGTTAGTTATACACGTGATACTGTCACCTAGTGGCCATGAGTTCAATCCTTGGATCTGGTAGGGACGCACGATTTCAACAGAAATGTACAATAAAACGGAAAAATAATCAATGAACACATGATGATGATTGGTCGAAACGTTATGTCTATAATAACATTTATATCAACCAAGATGAGAATAATCGTTCGAAATAATACAAGAAAATATTAATAGATCAGGAGGGTTTTCATAATGCTGGGCGAACAGTTTCAGTAAGAGTCATGGAGGGTGGCTGGTAGGACAAAATATAAAGAGAGTGAAAGTGTTTTCTGAGACGATTCTTAGATAGTTTTTCTTACGAGAGCAGCCCGCGACAGTGAGAATTCACGAGATTTATCACGGTGATATATGATATTGGCGACGAGGACCTCAACTTTTCAACAAGGGTGAAAGTCGTTATATTTCCACGAAAACAATAGTGGAGTACGACATATAGCAAGCAGGTAGACTGATTGCTAAATAGATATAAAGTGAAGGCCCTGAAAATCAGCAGTTCATATTTTTGCCAAGTTTGAACATCGACCATAGGTGCACCTCAGTAATTAAACTGAGTAAATGCACTTGTCTTCTGTGATCGATATAGCCTGCAGACGGCAAAAGATCATTCGTCAGGTTTTCTTCCCCAAACCATTTACAAACATTATCAATCATCGAACATGGCCGAAGTGCTTTAGAGTCCGCACAGACCGCTGTCCACGCAGTCCCTGCTCATGGGACAGGCAATGCACAGCATACACTTCTCTCCGTTAAGTGGATGGTCTAATTGTGGGTGAATACCTGCGGTCTCCTGATTCGGGTCTGACATAGGCAAAATTTATGTCTGAACAACTGACCCTATCCTGAAAGGGTGGAATAGGTTAGGGTTTGTGGTCTCAGTTCGGACGGTCTCGAGTGGACACGGCTTTAAATTATTGGTGGTGAGAGGTTCAGATGCAAGGCGGTCAGTTTGTTTTCCTTTCACTTATGGCGTGGCTACTGTAACAGGAACGAGAATTTACGAGATTTGGAATGAGTCTCCGTGCACAATAATTAAATTAACTCGTTTTGTTTATGGATATGATTTTAGGCCGGATATTTGTTCTTTTTATTACTTTTTCTTCTGTTTTGCACATTAAAAAAATAAAAAGAAAAAACAAAAAAAAAATAAAATAATAGTGTTTCGTATTTTCCACCCCTTTTAATTTTTCTTGATTTTTTTTACTTTTTGGCTTTCGGTTTTAAAACTATTAATTATTTCATCCGAATAATGAGAATTAGTGTGACGTTTTTACGATTTATATTCTCGTAATATTTATTCAAAGATACACGCACACGCACACACACGTATATATATTGATTGATAGCTATAAGATAAGAATACAGTACAACTGTATCGTAGGTATATGCATATATAATATAGCAAGGGCAACTATGAATATAATCGATATTCGTATTCTCAAGTTAGTGCAAGATTTTTAGCCAACCCAACCCAAATAACAAAACAGAGTAAATACTGCAACGGGACGCACACATAAAACCTCTCCCAAATTCGCACAGCCATACACCTTCAGGAACACGAACACACACACACACACACACACACACACACACACACATACATACATACATACATACATACATACATACATATTTCTGAAGAATGGATTTATTTTTAATCCGGCATTTTTTATTACTTCAAATCTAGTTTTTAGCGGATACCCGTATAAGAAATAGGCACCCCGTTTTTTTTTCTCCTTCTTCTTGTTATTATTTTAAACGTCTACCAGTCTGCACCCTCGAGAAAACTTAAAGAAAATGCGCTCTCCGGCCGGGTTCGAACCAGTGTACACCTTTGTAGAAAAAACCCCCAAAAAACACCGTTTGATCCGGCGTACTTTAGAGTGCTCGGCCACAGAGAGCGTCAGAGACCAGCAGGATTTCTCTTTACCATTAAGGAATGCCCAATCCTTGTGCAGATTTTCTCAAAAGCCCATATCTGCTCCATGTCTGGAGAATTAATGAATTTATTTTTAATCCGAGATTTTTATTGCTTCAAATCTAAGTTTTAGTGGATAGCCGCGTTTGACATTGACTCTCCGTTTACTATAAAGTAATAAGAATGATATATATATATATATATATATATATATATATATATATATATATATATATATATATATATATTTCAATTCTCGGTAGTGGATGCGCACTGCTAATGAGTCCCAAATATAGGACGAAAAGGCTGTCCATTGCTTTCCGCATTTCTGTTGAAGGTTCTTCTAGGCTCGATGAATTACTTAATTATGATTATCTCAAATCCTTCTTAATTTCTATCATTTATATATCCTTGCTTGAACCGGCTTCTAATGCTCTGGATGTAATGGCTTGGGGATAGTATAGTAGTCGTGGCTCTCGGGGGCACAGTCCTATGGGTAAGGGAAAACTTCCACTGCGGCGCTATATCGAGTCTAATTAGTTACATCTTCGTCACTACAAAGATGCAACTTCGTTTCGGTGTATTTCAATTAAATTCACTGAAACGAAGTTGCATCTTTGTAGTAAGTAAATTATTTTTGTCTATATGAAATAATTATAATATATATATATATATATATATATATATATATATATATATATATATTTAAACAGATACATAAATAGCAAAAAACAAAGATTGTATTTTACAAAGAAAAAAAACGATAATCCAATTTATTTTGGGATGATAACTTTTTTAAGACAAACAGTCTTTGTGATTGAAGTGCTCAATAGCAAGTGTCCATTTATCTTTGTCTACTTTGATTTTCGCGGATTACGTCCACTCGTCAGGTATTGCTATGTCCACACTGCTGTATATATATATATATATATATATATATATATATATATATATATATATATATGTGTGTAAATTTTATTACGTATACTATTTCCTATTACTATAAATGTTTAATTTTTGACGGTCTCCGGTGACTTAATTGGCAACGAAACGATTTGTCTATAGGAGTGGTTTCAGATGTCAACTCAAACACGTGTACCCACTAAAAATAACGTTTACAGTAATAAGAAATACGCGCGCACAAAACCACACACACAAACGCTCGAGCACATATCTCGTACTTCAAAAGTGAATTATAGTGGAAACTTCTTATTTGTAATATGTCCATTGGCCTGCGCGTTCGATAAATCTTAGTAAATAAAATGTGTCCCCGAGAAAAATAATGGGTAAAGAGGATGCTTTCCTTAAATATCTTAAAAAGAGTGCTGCTTACCGTGAAGTCCTAAGTGGCTGAGCACTAAAGCATACTGGATCAAACAGTACTTTCCCCAAAAGGAGAACGCAGATTAGTTCTTTACCGGTGGAAACATTTTCAAATTTTTCGAATGCACAGGCCAATGTACTTAATAAACACTGTTTAATAATTTAGTAATAATTAAAATGTTTAGTAATAATTAAAAATCGTGCGTCCATTTCAAATAAGTGTGCACTATAATAACATTTGAAGTAATAGAAATTGTCGGATTAAAAATAAATCCATTAATATATATCTATATTAACAGACTTATTTTTAATTCGACAATTTCTATTACTGCAAACGTTATACTTCCTTATACCGAAGTTGCATTAAAAACGACTGACAAGTTACAGCCGTTAAGATTTTTATGTAATTTTTCATGTGTTATAATTTTTTTCTGGACGTAATGATTTTTATACAAGAACACATAAAAAAAATTAATTAAAAAACCTAACCGTCATACCTTGCCAGTCGTTTTTAATGAAACTTGTATAAAAGATGTAATGCTGCGAAAATACACACACACACACACACACACACACACACATATATATATATATATATATATATATATGTCAAGATATATATAGAAAATAGGAAGGAACTGGTTAGGTAAATAATCCAAAGTCCCTTAGTATTTTAGTTATTATTTTTAAAAAATAGTGCTCGATACAAAAGTAGAGCATAAATATAATTATTTATTTAAAAATATGATTCCAAAACGCTACATAAGAAGTCTCATGTTTCAAAACAAGAGCCGAAAACTTCAATATAATTATTTAAATTAAATTGAGTTAAAATAAGCTCTGTTCCATCTTCAAGCGAAATTTTTTTTGGAATAACGTATATCTGAAATTTACGTGTTTTAAAAATTAAAATAAAAATTTCCATGGTAACAGCTAGGGCGAATTGTTTAAA